ACTGCATGTATTTAGCTTGGTATGAGTAAAACTTTGAAGATTTTAAATAAAAAAACATGAAAGATAATTGTTTTTAACAGCTTGGCTCCTTTGGTCTCATGTGTGTCAGAATCTCACTTTATTCATAAACAATAAAAAAAAATATTTATAGCAATACACTATCCAAAACATGATTACGAATTATTCAACACATATAAAAAAAAAACGTCAGAATCCCAATTCCTTTTGAAACAATAAAAAAGAAATATTTATAGCAATACACTAACCAAAACATGATTAAGATTTTATCAACACATAAAAAAACGTCAGAATCTCACTTTATTTGGAAACAATGAAAAAAAAAAATTTATATATATATATGTAAAGATATGATTAAGATTTATTCAACACATTAAAAAAACGTTGTCAGAATCTCACTATATTTAGAAACAATGAAAAAAAAAATATTTATAGCGATACACTTACCATGCTTACCATTAATTCAACACCAACATAACGTTGTCAGATTCGCACTTTATTTACTATAAAAACAATGAAAAAAATATTTATAACAATACACTTACCAAAACATGATTAAAAATTATTCAACACAAAAATAAAATAATGGTCGTCAGAATCTCAATTTATTTAAAAACAATGAAAAAAAATGTTTATAGCAATACATTTACCTTGACACAAAAAAAACCTTGTCAGAATCTCACTTTATTTAGAAACAATGAAAAAATATATATTTATAGCAATACACTTACCAAAACTCGTTTACAAATTATTAAACACAAAACCAATAAAAATTGGGCGCGAACGTGTAGGGTGCGAACGGACTTTGGGTGCAAACGTGTAGGGTGCGAAAGTGAAAAGGGGACGAACGTGCATGGGGGTGAACGTGATTGGGCGCGAACGGACCCGGATTCTTACTGACATGCCAGCTCCAGACCTCAAGTAAACTGATTGAAAGATTATGTCTTCATCATATGAAAATCAAGCACAATCCCTCCCGTTAGGGGTTTAGTATCATACCATCATCAAATATATGAGAAGAACATAACCCGTATCATGCCAACAACTGATTTTAGAATAAATGTGTTTATTTCCGATGCAAAGACCCTATGAGTGAATCAATATTAATACCAAAATATGCCATCTTTAATGTCCTGACAACAGTATCGTAACTATATCCCTTCTGAATAAGTCTGTTTAAAGGTTTGGTTAGCTTTTGAGGTGAATGTTGACATTTTTATACGACCGCAAAAAATTTTTTTTGTAATCAGTATCTTCTATAGATTTAATTTTCAAAAGTTAAAATGGTGAAAAATAATTCATTTTGTGTATCCATGGAAACATTCTGCATTTATTTATCATAAAATATTGCAAAAAAGGGGCATGAAAATGTCACATATTCCCCCAAAATTTGATTTAAACTAGAATTTCAATGCCTATGAGTGATACCTTTTCTGAAACTGTTGAAATTAATCTACCAAATGATAAAATAAAAATTGGGTGGCTTTCGCCTCATGTTTTCATAAAATTTAATCACAAAGTTCGTGCGACAAAAAGTTAGAAAAAAAAAACAGTGCAATAATTGCCGGACCAATGTCTGGTATGGATATGAAAATACAGACTGTCATACAGAAAACAGCCCATAATACATACATTACACAATCTTGATGTTCCTATAAACCCACTATGAAGGCTATATTAATCTTCAGCTATCCTAAAATGAATTTTATTGCACACTAGCTCTCATATTTGAAAAATCCACAGGGGCCAAAATGCGAAACTACACACCTAACTGTTGAGTGCTACCTAATTTTAAAGGGAACAATGAGTTTATTCAGAAAATTCAGACATTGTCGAGAAGATCATGAGTGGTTAAATTTTGAAATCTTTCAAGGAATTGAAGGTTATTATACTTTGCAGGTCACAGTTTTACCATGCATTAGAAATTATTGCCATGCTGAAAAAAAGAATGGTTTAAATTACATATTAGTTATATTCTTTAAAAAAATCAGGATTAAAACTTTAATTGTCTTTTTTCATTTTAAAGATCAGTATTAACTCCAGCACTTAGAAATTAGAACTTTTTTTTAGCATCATTTGTGTATTTATTTTCAAATGCTGAAAAATGGTTGCAATTTCTATAATTTTTCTAAAAAATGGATTTTTCACTCTCCAACAATTTAAATTTTTAAACAGGTGAAAAACTCGGGTTAAAGATATTCTTTTTAAAAAAGTAATCTGTTATTTAAAAAATATGCAAGAAGCATGACTTACATGAATTATATTTAGATAGCTCACCTTTTAAATTTTGTTTCATGATTTCTACTACAAAAGGAGGGAGGTATAACTGAAATACTGTTACTGAATACTGATCACTCTTTTTTAAACACTTTTTGACAGAATTTCTAGGAATTTATGTGCATTGTAAAATGCAGTGTATATGTATTTAAATTCACCATGGTATTTGTAAAGGATAGCAATTCCCATGTTTTACCATAACCCCCTTTTAAGGTGAAATTAGTTATGTTTATAACTCAGAATAGATTGAAAACAACATGCTTTCACCTAGGTAATACAAGTTTAAATATTGTTCAGGTTTTTGTTCTGTTGTTAAAAAATTGACTATGTACTTCCTTTATAAATATAGCAATACTAGGTAAATAAAGTAAAATGATAGGAAAGCCATAAAAATGTAGTTTAGAAAAATGTTTTTTAGATTTATTTATTTTTCTATCTTATAAATTTTTTTGTGGTATTCCGAACAGGCAAAAAGACCTATGCTGTTGATATTAATTTGCAAGGAAAGTATTAGAAGATTCAAATATACAAAAATCCTTATCTTTTGATAAAGTATGAAGGATATTGATATTATAACAGTCAACATGGTCAAGGAAGGGAAAGTAGGAAATGAAAAAAGATTGAACCTGTGATTGAATAATATTTTGCTGACTCTTCTTCTACTTGATGTTCTAGATAATTTAAAAACCTACAATAAGTTGTTGAATTTTTAAAACCGCATTTAATTTTTTTTAAGTAAGGAGAGAAGCCTTACAATAGTTTGGTTGATTTTATAAACAAATAGGCTAACAGGATTTAGCAGTAAATCTGTAAGTTAAAGGATGTCTTCATAAGAGGAATTTTCCTGCTTGTGTCATAGTAGTAAAACATATGCATGACTCAGCATTAATAAATTGATAGTATAACCTGCATGTATAGATATACCCATTGGATGGAAAATCATAGAAAACTTTATAGCTGTAATATAGCATCTTCCCTTTTTTTTTTGCTGGGACTAATTTAAAATTAAAAGGTTAAATCCTAATTTATTTTTTTTTCAGAAAAAACTTGGGATCTTTTAGATTAATCTTCTAATTTGATAAGCTTGACTGTAGGACATTTTAATCATGAAGCTTTATACATGAAATGAATGGTTGAAAGTACATGAGCAGTAGTGTAGTTTCATGTATTTCAAACAATATATGTGATAGTTTAAAGCATGTTATTAACATCCTGGTTCTTTGTTCTAAGGTGGATAGTCGTCTCATAGATAATCATACCAAATCTTTTTATTATAAAGCTTATCACAATGCAAATGTAATCATGGTAATCAGATTATGTTAGTTAAACCTCATGTAATTTTTTTGTCAGAAGAAATGACATTCTTTTGTCAATGTAATGTCAGCTGTCTAGAAAAATTTATAAAAATATATTTTATTATAATGGGTGAAACACATACCTAACACTCTTTGTATCTATTATTTTTTTACTGCTTATAAACACTTATATTGAACTTTTTTATGCCACCGCCGTAGCGGAGGGGGCATTAAGTTTTACCCTTGTACGTCTGTACGTCCGTATGTACATCCCAAAATTGGTTTCCGTTCTCTAACTTTAGTTTGCCTCTACCAAATGTTATGAAACTTATACACAATGCTTATTACCACAAAACACAGATCAAGATTGAATTTTGGTGGCGTCACTTGTACTGTTTTAGAGTTATGCCCCTTTACAAATGGAAAAATTGCTAAATTTTTTGTTTGCGTTCTCTAACTTTAGTTTGCCTCAACCAAATGTTATGAAACTTATACACAATGCTTATTACCTTAAAACACAGACCAAGTTTGAATTTTGGTGGCTTCACTTTTGCCGTTCTAGAGTTATGCCCCTTTACAAATGGAAAAATTGCTTAATTTTTTTTTCCGTTCTCTAACTTTAGTTTGCCTCAACCAAATGTTATGAAACTTATACACAATGCTTATTACCACAAAACACAGATCAAGTTTGAACTTTGGTGGCATCATTTTTATCGTTCTAAAGTTACGCACCTTTACAAATGGAAAAATTGCTGGATTTTTTGTTTCCGTTCTCTTAACTTAAGTTTGCCTCAACTAAATGTTATGAAACGTATACAATGCTAATTTCCACAAAACTCTGGTCAAGTACAAATTTGGGTAGCGTCACTTTTACAGTTCTTGAATTATGTTCCTTTATAACATTATATGCAAGCGGGGCATCATCTGTGTCCCATGGACACATTCCACATTGATTTCTGTTTACTTTTGCTGTTGATAGAAGTACATTGTATTTGAAAAATCCCCCATGCATACAGTACACCCAAGAATTTTTCCAATGCCAAACTTACAGAACATTGTTTGACATAGGATCTTGTTATCTTGCATTTCAACACTGAGGTTGTCAGTTTCAAACCTCACACATGGCAGGTGTGTTTGAATCCAATCTTAATTGACTAGGATTGTCAGTTTTCCTGCTGAAGATCTGCGGTTCTCTCCCGGCACTCCAGCTTCCTCCACCAATATAAGCTGGCCTCCATGATATTTCCAATAGTCCTGAAAGTGGCGCTAAACACCAACAATCAATCGGTTAAACATCTTCTGTAGATTTCTATGTAAATTCAACAAGGCACTTTGGAATGATGTGAGGACATTTTCCATAACAAATTTTATTGTATAATTTAAATTTGTGTTATTGTTTATTTACTTTAGACATCCAACATCATGTTGTTCTATGGCAGAGATTATGTCTGTATTGTTTTTCAATACCATGAGATACACCATTGCTGAACCACGAGGTGCTTCTAATGACAGGTTTATATTGTCGAAGGTTAGTGTTGTAGCAATGCATGCTAGCACCTTATAAATAAAAGATATTAGATTTATTTAAACAGATCTGATTTCTTTAAAGTAAATATGACTCTTAATCGAAAAGAAAAAAAAGTCCTCTAGTACTTAATGTTAAATAGAGTGAATAAATTACATGTTAAGGAAATGACATTGTTGATCAAATTCATATATGTCTTGAACTTAAGTGGATGCCTGATTGTATCAGGTTAAATTTGGCATAAAGGTCCAGGTCTAAGCAACTAATGTTTCTGAATAGATGAATAATATTTTTTCTAAGTGTGCATATCTTGAAATCAGTCACCTGTAGTTACCAAATTCTTAAGGCAGGGGTTTTTCATTATTGAGGAGTAGCTCACAGTTTTACTTCTTTTACTTTTTGTTGCAGATAATGTGTATCTTTTAAATGTTATATACATAAATGTAATTTTTATCATTTTTTTCTAGTCGACAACATTGAGTTGTGTATAATTTGTAAGCAATAGCTCACAATGTATCTTTCTTTTATAAAATGGCAGTACATAATGTTTTGTTAATTAAGCACTACTCTGCAGTAAAGTTTACAATCTTATGATGATTGGGATGTTTGTCAATTAACGGTACCCAAATTAAGTCAAAATCAGAATGAAGTGTGGTGGATGTTCGAGTGCCAGCTGACGTTACGATTGCAAAGTTCTTAAATTAGTTTTTAAATTCATGGAATTTTTACAGGGTCATGCAGCTCCAATCCTGTATGCAGCTTGGGCTGAGACAGGACTATTCCCAACTTCAGAGCTTCTGAACTTACGTAAATTAGACAATGATCTTGAGGGACATCCAACACCTGTAAGTTTATAAAGTTATTGTGGAGCAACATATGCCAGCGGAAAAGTTTTTTGTAATGGATATATATTTGCAAAGTATTGCTGTTGTTGAAATTCAATTATTGATTTACCTATAAAAGGCCTAGGGATTGCACGAACTGTTATCTGCCTCAAGTATCATGAACAAATGATGAATACATAGTTTTGACAATTTAATTTCAATGATCTCGAGTTTCTGCTCAAATTTAAGTATGCCTAATTGCAGAACATCTAATTTTTAAAAAGTAAATAATATTTCAAAATAATTGACAGAAAGTCATGAAAGTTGGTGAAGATGTTTTTTTTTGAATGAATAAGTTCTATTTATAGATATTAATAGAAAATTTTAAGCCCAGAGGGTAAGACACAAATTAATGTTCCTCATTTTAATACTTTTAGTTTCTTCCTGTGATACTAACTACTCTTTTACAGTACTATTGTATTGTATTATAATGCAAAAATAATAATAGTTTTTGGAAGAAAAAATTGTACAATTTACAAGCAATTCACAATAATCATGTCACAAAATAACTCAAATTTAAGTAATATAATGATACTTAATGAAATGATTTCAGAGATTGAATTTTGTTGATGTAGCCACTGGATCACTAGGTCAGGGATTAAGTTGTGCTGTTGGTATGGCTTACATGGGAAAGTATATAGACAAAGCAAGGTAGGAACATACAGATATTTACACATAGCCAGTATGTTTAAAATCTTAACTAATAAATAATGCTAAATCTATGTTAGTGTCATAGAAAAGTTAAAGCAGGTCATTAATTTATCTAAATTATAAATTGATAACTTTAACAAGAAGAATTAAAGAGAAAGTTTTATATAATGGGTGCATGGTAAACCAACAGTAAGAAAGGATTAAAGACTGGGTTTATATCTGGAGATCATATTTCATATGAAAAATTGTAAAATGATTCTAAATATTTTGCAGATATTTTTTTTTTTCTATGACATCCATCAACAATACATGTTTCTTATAAAACAAACAGTATGTGATACTCTTGATGCAGCTTATTATCTACCCTTGATTGATCCTTATTTTGACCCTCACTATTCTGTATGGAATACTTTTTACTCTCTTGTTTTATTTTAATGGATTGTTTTAGCTTGCACTGTACAAAACGAACAGTTTTTTGCTCAGTCCAATACTTTTATTGTTTGCTATAATCTGTAATGTTTTAATTAACTGCTTTGTTTTCAGTTACCGTGTGTTTTGTTTGATGGGAGATGGAGAGAGTGCTGAAGGATCCGTGTGGGAAGCCATGGCATTTGCTAGTTTTTACAAACTGGACAATCTTGTGGCCGTCTTTGATGTCAACCGTCTTGGTCAGAGTGATCCAACAAGTCTTCAGCATGACGTAGCAACCTACAAAGCAAGAGCTGAAGCTTTCGGGTAAAATATCCAAGCTTATCTGGGAACCATCTTATTAAAATAAGAAAATAAGGAGATGCAGTATGATTGCCAATGAGACAACTATCCATCAAAGTTCAAATGAAGTGGATGTAAGCAATTATAGACATCTGTACGGCCTTCAACAATGAGAAAAACCCATACCGTATAGTCGGCTATAAAAGGCCCCGACATGAAAAATATGAAACAATTCAATTGAAAAAAATAACGGCCTAATTTATAACAAAATTTACAAAAAACAAAATGACAGACATGAACCAATGACAACCACTGAACTACAGGTTCCTGACTTGGGACAGGAACATAAAGAATGTGGTGGGATAAACATGCTTGTGAGGGCTCAACCCTCCCCTAACCTGGGACAGTGGTGTAACAGCACAACATAAGAACAAACTATAAAAATCAGTTGAAAAAAGACTTTTTTACAATCACTAATACAGTTTGTTCAAATCTTGTCCATACATCAAACTATCTTATTCATTGCTTCATGCCTTTCTGGGAAAGGAAATCAATATTTTTTTTCTGAAGACTTTTTAATGCTAATGGGGAGATAACTCTCTCATGGTCTTTTACAACCCTTTGTTTCATGAACCATGCAATAACATGATATAAAATTTCCAAAGAGTTTTTCTTAAGTTCTAGAAGATTCAAAAGTATATTTTGCATTTTAAAGATTTTTTGGTATTTGAACAGTCAGGAAAGGGAAGCAAATATTGGGACAAAAGAGACTATTTTGGTATTGGAAGTCAGCAAAATATAATAATAATTAACTCAGTGTTTTCCCCCAACTGTTCATCTTTTTAATATAGTGTAAAAGTTTAGTCACTTTATTGATACAAATATCTGGCATCACATAATTATTTCAGAAGGCAAAGTATAAGCAATTAAACCTGCTTAGGCTTAAAATGAAATCCATGTATGATATTGAAATGTTTTTTTTTTATTTGATCAGATTCAACACATATATTGTTGATGGACATAATGTTGAGGTTCTGTGTAAAGCTTTCCATGATGCTTCTACAGTAACTGGTCGTCCTACCTGTTTAGTGGCTAAAACCTTTAAAGGGAAAGGTATTCCAGGTGAGTTTGATCTTGCATAAAAAAAGGAGAATGAATCCAATTAGAGTCTGATTAGTCCCAAGATGTAAAAGATAGGACTTCGTCTGCAATTAAGTGTTTAACATGGGAATATACATATAGACAATATCTAAGTTGAATAACTCTTAATACAACATTTATTTCATTTAAGTTACTGTAATCAGTGCTGATTTGTTCCAATTATCATGATACTGTAAAATATCAACTGTAAGTCACAATATGAAGCTTTTTGTTGAGTGAGCGTGGAGAACGAGTTCAAAAAGGCTATATAATGTGAATTTTTATGTCTCCCCTTCAACAAAGGGAAAATATTAAATTTTAGTAGTATATCTTTCTTCTCGTATAACTCTTTCAAGGCCAAGCCTTTTTATGATTTTTTGACACTGGCTTAAAATATTTGGCATGAAGGTGTATAACTATAAGATGGTGTGTCATATATAATCATGACTTTCGTGTGACCCTAAGTTTTAACTTCAAGGTCAATATACTAGATTTTTTTAGACATTTTTGTCTCATGAACAAACTTTTTTATCCTTTGACATTGGTTTTTATACGACCGCAAAAAAACTTTTGTGGTCGTATATTGGTATGACGTTGGCGTCGTCGTCGTCGACGTCATCGTCTGGCGTCGTCCGAAGACACATTGGTTTTCGCACTCTAACTTTAGTTTAAGTGAATGGATCTCTATGAAATTTTACCACAAGGTTCAATACCACAAAAGGAAGGTTGGGATTGATTTTGGGGGTTATGGTACCAACAGTAAAGGAATTAGGGGCCAAAAATAAGCATTTTTGTAACTTCCAGACATAACTTGTGTGTTAGTGTATGGATCTCTCTGACATTGTACCACAAGGTTCCATATCACAAAAGGAATGCTGGGATTGATTTTGGGGGTAATTGCCTCAAAATATTAGGAATTAGGGGCAAAAAAACAAGCATTTTTCTAGTTTCATGACAATAACTTGTGTGTAAGTGCATGGATCTTTCTGAAATTGTACTACAAGGTTCCATATCACAAAGGAAAAGTTGGAATTGAGTTTGGGGGTAATTGCTGAAACGTTTAGGAATTGGGGGCCAAAAAGGGGCCAAAAATAAGCATTTTTCTAGTTTCCAGACAATAACTTGTGTTCAAGTGTATGGATCTCTCTGAAATTGTACTGCAAGGTACCATACCACAAAGGGAAGGCTGGGATTGATGATGGGGGTAATTGCCTCAATATTTTAGGAATGGGGGCCAAAAAGGGGCAAAAAACAAGCATTTTTCTAGTTTCAGGACAATAACTTGTGTGTAAGTGTATGGATCTTTCTGATATTGTAATACAAGGTTCCATATCACAAAGGGAAAGCTGGGTTTGAGTTTGGGGGTAATTGCCCTAATTGTTTAGGAATTTGGGGCCAAAAAGGGGCCAAAAAACACATTTTTCTAGTTTCCAGACAATAACTTGTGTTCAAGTGTATGGATCTCTCTGAAATTGTACTGCAAGGTACCATACCACAAAGGGAAGGCTGGGATTGAGTTTGGGGGTGATGAATCATAAGGGGGTTCAAAAAATTTGGGGGGAGGGATTTTTTTTTTTTTTCCTTTTTTTTCTTTTTTTCTTTTAAAATTTTCCATTTTAAGTTGGTTATTTCTGATTTATATTTAAAAGCAAATAATAATGATATGGTAGGAGATACACACCAAACAGGATGTGTAAATTATTATTTAATAAGTATTGTGCAATAGCAAGAAATTTTCAATTGCACAATATGGCACAATAGCAAGAAATCTTCAATTGCACAGTATTGCGCAATAGCAAGAAATCTTCAATTGCACAGTATTGCGCAATAGCAAGAAATATCCAATAGCACAATATTGCGCAATAGCAAGAAATTGTCAATTGTACAGTATTGCGCAATAGCAAGAAATATTTAATTGCACAGTATTGTGCAAAAGAAGATACTTCGTATAAATTGCTTATTTCTTGACCAATTTCAATGGGGTTTTATTCTTGAATTCTTGGGGTTCTTTAATATGCTGAATCTAACCGTGTATTTAGTTTTTGGATTTTGGGCCCCGTTTTTAAATTGGTCCACATTGAGGTCCAAAGGGTCCAAAATTAAACTTTGTTTGATTTCATCAAAAATTGAATTATTGGGGTTCTTTGATATGCCGAATCTAACCGTGTATTTAGATTCTTAATTTTTGGTTCCGTTTTCAAATTGGTCTACATTAAGGTCCAAAGGGTCCAAAATTAAACTTAGTTTGATTTTAACAGAAATTGAATTCTTAGGGTTCTTTGATATGCTGAATCTAAACATGTATTTAGATTTTTGATTATGGGCCCAGTTTTCAAGTTGGTCCAAATCGGGGTCCAAAATTAAACTTTGTTTGATTTCAACAAAAATTGAATATATGGGGTTCTTTGATATGCTGAATCTAACCATGTATTTAGATTTTTGAATTTTTGGGCCCCGTTATCAACTTTGTCCACATTGAGGTAAAAAGGGTCCAAAATTAAACTTTGTTTGATTTCATCAAAAATTGAATTCTTGGGGTTCTTTGATATGCTGAATCTAACCATGTATTTAGATTTTGGATATTGGACCATAATAGGTGAATGTCCAATTTAAAATTTTTAAGTTCTTAGACCACATTCATTCTGTGTCAGAAACCTATGCTGTGTCAAATATTTAATCACAATCCAAATGCAAAGCTGTATCAAGCTTGAATGTTGTGTCCATACTTGCCCCAACTGTTCAGGGTTCGACCTCTGCGGTCGTATCAAGCTGCGCCTGCGGAGCATTTTATTTATATTCTGCACATGGTTTCATCACATTAAGATATAATGTTGCACACAATTGGAGATGACCTATGTTGTTGACCCCACCCCAGCAAATCTTTAATTGTTAAATATCTTGAAAACTCTTCATATTCCCACCCCTTAATCATGTATATTCTTAGTTATAATGGCAATGACCTTTATAGAACACCATATAATGTTAATTGTTCAATACATCAAAAACTGTTCAGATCCTCACCTTTAACCATGTATATTCTGAACTGCCACGACAAGACCTTTTAAGTGCACAATATATATTGTTCATTGTAAGGGGTTTTTGGAGGGTCATGCACAACCCCTTGATATCACACACTTTTAAATATATTGAAAACAGTCAAGATTCCCATCCATTCAGTACTAGAATGTGCTTGTGGGGCTTTTTCTTTACTGGAGTCACTGCTGGAGATGAAGGGGAGACATTATTTTTAGTCCGCTAAAATAGTTCAAAGTTAGAAGTTGAATTAAGCTTTGAACTAGCCTCCAGGATCTGTGAGTTCTCTTAGACTGATACTTCGTTTCATTTGCCATTTTGTAAGTTGTTAGAGAAAATCTGGTCAGGCAAAAATGTTTGACCAAAATTGTCAGAAGACTCCTTATAGGGGTTATAGCCCTTAAATACATCTGTCATTTATCTAATTGAAAAAATCCAGGTTAGCTAAAAAAGCAATGCATAAAACATGTTCAGGTAACTACATTAAATTTTTCAGGAATCGAAGATCAGATGAATTGGCATGGAAAGGCTCTAGGCAAAGAGTCGGCTAATGCTCTTAAAGCTATCAAAGATAACATGTCCAACCAAGGACCTCATGGATTAAAACCTGGTGCTATAGTTGATGATGCCCCAGCAGTAAATATTAAAAATGTTGCATTATCTGAACCTCCAAATTACAAGAAAGGTCAAACAGTAAGTTTGGTTGTTGTAGTATCTTTTGTATTTGTATGATTCTTTGTCTCATTGTTACAAAAGTTTATGAGCATGAACAGTTGTCATAGGTTTAGTATAGAATTTACAAAATCTGTTGAACCTGTGTGTAATGTGCAAAACCTATTTCATTCTTTTGTTTGATTTATTTTCACAGGTTCCCAGGGCAAAACATGGCATTTCTCATTTCTACACAAGGGGAAGATTTTAAATGTTGAAATAAACTTGACAGAATTGCTTAATACTTTGTTTAGTTTATAGATATGTTCTATTTTTTATATGATTGTTTTTTTGGGGCATTTCCTTTTTAAAACAAGTACGTTGAAACAATGTAAATTTGTCCAATTTGTTGAATGGAAGGAAATTTGATAGAGTTCCTTTATAACACATATACCAGCAGTTGTGCATTTTGAGGTTACTAAAGGTTCAGTTGATTATTTTCAGCTACAAGAATTTGTAACTGAAAAAAGAGCCAAGATTGGAAATATTCAAATTTTGTCGGGGAAAGATCATTCTTTATTGAGAAGGAAACCTTGATAAAATACTAAAAAATTATGAGGGAAAGATAAAGATATCAAATGGAAAATTGCCCATTTGATTTTAAATTTGTCAAGAGCTATTTTAAAAAGTGTTGGAAGTCTAAATTACTCAGGTGGACCCTGGTAGATTTAGTGTTAAATCCCTTGAAACTAGCTTTTTCACCTTAGCAATAATGAACCATTGAAATGGTATCTTACAATTATTTACCTTGCTGTATATTACTTTAAATTTATCATTTATTAATTAATTGTTATTTGAAGATGAGTAAATTACTACAAAGGAAAAACTTTAATTAGCTTGTGTAGTTTTGATGGTATTGAATTTTCATGACACAGTTTGGATATCAACTTAAACAGAAACTTGGTACAAGCACACAATATAATTTTTATACGCCCGTCAAATTTTTGACGGGACGTATTATGGTATACAAATGTCCAGCGTCTGTCTGTCTGTCTGTCTGTCTGTCCGTCTGTCTGTCCGGCGTAAACATGTCGCACCGTAACTTGAGAATGACTTATCTAAATTTCATGAAACTTAACATAGTTGTTTCTTATGATGGTCAAACGATCTGTATACTTTTTGGTGAAAATAAGATTAAAACTTTTTGAGTTACGGGACTTAGTAACTAAAACTGGTGTGTGTTTTTTTTCACATGTCGCGCCGTATCTCAAAAACAGTTTATGATTATTGCTTAAAACTTTACACACTTCTTAGTTATATTAACCTTAAGATCTGTATACTTTTTGGTGATGATTCAAAATTTTATTTTTGAGTTATTGAGTATTTTGTAAAAAAAGGGGGAGGGGTTTTTCACATGTCGCGCCGTATCTCAAAAACGATTTATGATTATTGCTTAAAATTTTACACACTTCTTAGTTATATTAATCTAAAGATCTGTATACTTTTTGGTTTTGATTCAAAATTTTATTTTTGAGATATTGATTTTTTTTTTTTAAAAGAGGGGTTTTCACATGTCGCGCCGTATCTCAAAAACGATTTATGATTATTGCTTAAAATTTTACAGACTTCTTATTTATATTAATCTAAAGATCTGTATACTTTTTGGTTTTGATTCAAAATTTTATTTTAGAGATATTGAGTATTTTGTAAAGAAAAAGGGGATTTTCGCATGTCACGCCGTATGTCAGAAACTATTTATGCTTATTGCATAAAAATTCACACACAAGACGACGGGCGTATCATGCGCTCATGGCGCAGCTGTTAATTGTCTATACGATTGACCTTTATATAAATAACACATAGCTGAGAGGGTGATAGAGCAGATTGTTACCCCGAGAAAACATTGTCAACTGAGGCGAAGCCAAGGTTGACAATGTTTTTTCGAGGGGTACCAATCTGCTCTATCATCACCCTCTCAGCTATGTGTTATTTAATTTATTATACTGAATGTCCTATCATTATTGTCTTTTACTGTTGAATATTAAATGTAAAGTATTTTACCATGACATCACGTACATAACAACGTTACAGGTATTAGAAAAATCAACAGAATTGAAGCAAGACTTTTTTATTTTTTTATTTTGACAATCTATGAAAAAATTCTGAGCCAAAACGTAGAAATTGAGTATTGTCTTTAATTATTTGATGTAAATTCAATTCACTGTCCTTTAGATTATCGATTTTTGATTGGTCTTCACGAGTGGGTGACATTCAAAAAATTGTCTCCCGCTCAGCCATGGGATAGAGTAAATTATCTCCCTCGTATTAGCCAATCAAAATCTGGCATTTTAACGTGAAGTATAATAAATTTTTATATCCAATGAGAAAGGATGAATTTATTGACTATTTTATCTGGTTTATTTTAGGTAGCCACCAGAGCAGCCTATGGCACAGCTTTAGTCAAAATAGGAAAAAATAATAACCGTGTAGTGGCTATGGATGGTGATGTCAAGAACTCCACTTTCTCCATCAAATTCAAGGTAAATTTATGATGTCAATACAAACTCAAATCTTAAATTGCTTCTATTAATTTATATCCAGTTCCAAAGGTGCCTTAGTATTTAAATCTTAGGTGTCTTCTCTGTTTAAGCTCTAAGAATCACATGTTTAAATCCTCTGTATCATATATGCTGAAAATCCTGGCTATATTAAATGTTTAATCTTGGCCATAGATATCTTTTATTTTGAAATCCTTGGTATCTTATCTGTTTGAATGAAACAGCCCTTATTTGATGGGAATACATTTTGACATGGTGGGTGGTAATTATTTGATGTTAGAGAAAACACTTTATATTTAATTTGATTTTTTTTCTTTAACAGGAAGCATTCCCAGACAGATTTATTGAATGTTTTATAGCTGAACAAAATCTAATAGGAACTGGCATAGGAGTTGCCTGTCGTGACAGAGCTGTTGTTTTTATTAGCACATTTGCTTGTTTCCTCAGTAGAGGTTTTGATCAGATCAGAATGGGAGCCATATCTCAAACCAATGTTAATTTTGTAGGATCACATGCTGGTGTCTCTATTGGTAAGGGGAATTAGAAATAATAACAGTAAAATGAACACTCCTAGGTATAGATGTTACTGAAACCATTTTGTAGAATTCATCCTATGATTAGAAGTAAATAGAGCAAATATGTATTATATCTTTAGGGAAATCACTTGGTAATTTACTTTTATCAGATGGTTTTTGTCGAGCCTGCGACTTTTGTCGCAGAAAGCTCGACATAGGGATAGCGATCCGGCGGCGGCGGCGGCTACGGCGGCGGCGGCGGCGGCGGCGTTAGCTAACTTCTTAAAAGCTTTATATTTTAGAAGATGGAAGACCTGGATGCTTCATACTTTGTATATGGATGCCTCATGTTACGAAGTTTCCGTCAGTCACATGTCCAATATCCTTGACCTCATTTTCATGGTTCAGTGACTACTTGAAAAAAAAGTTCAGATTTTTTGTAATGTTAAATTCTCTCTTATTATAAGTAATAGGATAACTATATTTGGTATGTGCGTACCTTGCAAGGTCCTCATGCCCGTCAGACAGTTTTCACTTGACCTCGACCTCATTTCATGGATCAGTGAACAAGGTTAAGTTTTCGTGGTCAAGTCCATATCTCAGATACTATAAGCAATAGGTCTAGTATATTCGGTGTATGGAAGGACTGTAAGGTGTACATGTCCAACTGGCAGGTGTCATCTGACCTTGACCTCATTTTCATGGTTCAGTGGTTATAGTTAAGTTTTTGTGTTTTGGTCTGTTTTTCTTATACTGTATGCAATAGGTCTACTATATTAGGTGTATGGAATGATTGTAAGGTGTACATGTCTAGCTGGCAGGTGTCATCTGACCTTGACCTCATTTTCATGGTTCAGTGGTCAAAGTTAAGTTTTTGAGTTTTGTCTTTTTTTCTAATACTGCATGCAATAGGTCAGCTATATTTGGTGTATGGTATGATTGTAAGGTTTACATGTCTAGCTGGCAGGTGTCATCTTACCTTGACCTCATTTTCATGGTTCAGTGGTCAAAGTTAAGTTTTTGAGTTTTGGTCTTTTTTTCTAATAATATATGCAATAGTTCAACTATATTTGGTGTATGGAAATATTTTATGATCTATATGTCAGTCACGCAGGTTTTATTTGACCTTGACCTCATTTTCAAGGTTCATTGCTCAGTGTTAAGTTTTTGTGTTTTCGTCTGTTTTTCTTAAACTATAAGCAATAGGTCAACTATATTTGTTGTATGGAAGAATTGTTAGCTGTACATGCCTGCCTAGCATGGTTCATCTGACCTTGACCTCATTTTCATGGTTCATTGGTCAATGTTTAGTTTACTTGGTTAATGTGAAGTTTATGTGACAGTTGTAATAAAGCTTTATATTTAGGACTATCAACATAATATCAATGATTAGTAAAGAAGGCGAGACATTTCAGGGTGTGCACTCTTGTTAAGAACACATATACCTGTGATCTCTACAGATTTTTGAAGTCACTATTATTTAGAAGTGGGAATTTGCAGATTGTACAACATTTTATCAAAATATAATTAGAAGCCGCCACTGTAACACTTTTGCCATTTTGTATAAATGATATTTCTTTAAAGTATATCCACATACATTTGTAATTTCACTGTTTTCAGGTGAAGATGGTCCATCTCAGATGGCATTAGAAGACATTTCCATGTTTAGAAGTATCCCAGGCTCCACAGTATTCTATCCTAGTGATGCTGTGTCCTGTGAGAGGGCTGTAGAACTGGCTGCTAACACACCAGGCGTTACATTTATCAGAACTAGTAGACCCAACTCTGCAGTTTTGTATGATAATAATGAACCATTTGCTGTAGGCAAAGGAAAGGTGAGTAGTATACTTCTAACAACTTCAATGGACTCATGGTGAAGTGATCACTTTGAGTGCTGGAGGTATTGGGTTCGTTCCCACTTGAGTCAGGCTTGGTGTTCATTCAGGCCTATAAACTCCATCAATGGTAACACTGTTTCCTTATAGTAATTGTGGTTTCTAGCATATCTTGCTAAAACTTATATGCTTTTTCTTTTTTGAGCCAAATTTATGAAAGTTGTTGGTGTACCACGATACTATGTTGTTTTGGTAAACATATGTTATTATTAAATAGAACTATACGCCTGCACATTTATTAGGTTATATGAATACTTGTGGGTTTTCAAAGGAGTTTTTGTCTGAAAAATTCAACTTGATATAAAATTAAATTATTATGAAAAGAATAGTAAGATTGGCACCAAAATACTTGTCATTGATATTTACATACAAAATGAACTATATTTTTGAAAAAATTTGTAAACCTTTATTTTGGTGAAAACTGTAGATACTACCTATTTAAGTAACAAAACGTAGTATTGTCTATCCCATGTAACCTAGTTAAGGCCAACAGTGGATGCTTTATGTCTGGGACTTGCAAATTATATTTTTTGTAATTGTCAGGTTTTATTGCTGTCCATTTGAATTTGAGTGACATTATGAAATACAACAGCCAGGTAAGACAACAAAAAAAACGAACTCTTTTGATGATACAGTCGTATGAAGTCTCACTTTTTTGTCTAAATTATATTGATTTTTTTTTTACCAGATAGTACGAGAGAGTGCCAATGATGCAGTAACTGTGATTGGTTGCTGTGTTACTTTGGAAGAGGCCCTGAAAGCTGCAGATAAACTGGCTATTGATGGTATTAACATCAGAGTAGTTGATCCATTTACAGTTAAACCAATTGATGCTGAACTTATCATTAATTGTGCTAGAGCAACAGGTGGAAAGATCATCACTGTAGAGGATCATTATCCATTTGGTAAGATACAACATAGTTATGGTCATATTTGGTATACAATCTTGTACTGTATACTTTGGATTCATTACTATTCCTGGGGTGCTAATTTTCTTTGATTTTGTGTGAATATGTGAATCACTAATTCTAATGTTCAACAAAATACAAATGTCCTATAGGCTTGTATGCAGAAATTCAGTTGGTTATTCTTTAGAGATTAACATGTTAGAAACTTGAACCTGTTACTCAGATTTTTATTTTTGTTTGTTCTAAACACTTAAAAATTGCATGTGAGACTAAAATTATTAAAACTGTTCCATTATTAAAACTGATGAAAAATATGAAGCTTGTGTTAATGCTTACAATACTTAAGTTAAGGAGATAAAAAATTATTTTCTGCACAACACAATTTCCAAAAATAATAAGTTTAACCACAATATCTTTCTAATGCCACTTTGCATAGCATGGATTTGACATATGAGAATGTACTATGACAAAACAATTTTGTGGGTTGTATTTGATCAGCAGGTAGATCTTATCAAAACAAAAATTTTACTTGTTTCTTTTTATGCCCCACCTACGATAGTAGAGGGGCATTATGTTTTTTGGTCTGTGCGTCCGTTCGTTCGTCCGTCTGTCCCGCTTCAGGTTAAAGTTTTTGGTCAAGGTAGTTTTTGATGAAGTTGAAGTCCAATCAACTTGAAACTTAGTACACATGTTCCCTATGATATGATCTTTCTAATTTTAATGCCAAATTAGAGTTTTGACCCCAATTTCACGGTCCACTGAACATAGAAAATGATAGTGAGAGTGGGGCATCCGTGTACTATGGACACATTCTTGTTTTATATATTATAATATTCTTGTTTACTTAATAGGTGGTCTTGGTGAAGCAGTATGTTCAGCTGTAAGTGAATGTCGTGACATCACAGTGAAAAAGCTAGCTGTACAGGATATTCCTCGTAGTGGCAAATCAGCAGAATTAATTGAGCGTTTTGGAATTAGTGCTAACTGTATCGTTAAAGCTGTCAATCAGATTTTGTCTCAATAGATCTTGGAGTCATTCTTGTTTAACATGTTTTTAGTATTAGTGACTTTACATTTCTAGTTGTGTCATCACTTTTTCCAAGACATTTAGGTTTTTGATGGATTCTAACAGAGATTTAGATAATTATTATTTATAAAAAAGAAAAAAAATGCAGTAAGTAAATTTGATAATTCTGTTTTTGAAAATTTATTTTTTGATATGTAAAAATACCATTCTTTATTTTTAAGATGGTCTTTGTTTTGTACTAGATGAATTTATGAATTATTATGATGAAAAAAGTATTTAGTATTGTAGTAAATGAATTAAACATAATCAGGAGAATATATAGAGTTGTAGAAATATTGTAACAATAAAAAAATATGCATTCTCTAATCAAAATTGTAAAATTATAAGCTATTAAACCGCATATTTTTTGCTAGCTTCTTTAAATGGACAATATTTACCCTCATTTGATGTAAATATTATTATTCATATCGTATTGATACAACCTTAGCCATAATGTCATTTAGGATATAATTATGTGAATAATAATTATTCTGATTTATAAAGTGCTATGTTAAGTAAGTATAGTCTGCTGCAAAATGTATATGGTAGTTGTCATTTTTCCTTATAATACAATTGTTGTAAACAAAACAAAAAATATTTATTTCAATAGAATTTCCTTAGTTTTACACAACGATAACAAAACACACAAAAAAACCAGGTTTTTAATAAATAATTTTTATATTGGCTGTTGGATTGAGACATTATCAAACATCATATCAGATGTTAATTAAAATTTCATTAAAGCTTTAGAAAGAACTAGCTGGAGAAATAAAGGTTTATTCTCTAAATTCTTTTCCATGAGTATCTGTTGCAAACATAATTTGTAAAAAAAAAGCAATAGATTCATTAAAAAAAAGGTTTATAACTATAAAATGAGTATGTAGTGAAAAATGACAGAAACCTGCATATACCACATTTCTGATAATCATAAGTGCTAAACAGTCCACTGTTAACAATATGTTAGTTGTTTTTTTAAACCCTGTTGATGTCAATCTGTGGTTACATTTGATATAATAAAATATTGTTCTTAATTTGTTACATGTTTTTAATTTTCAAAGATGTTACTGAAGGCTTTGGTATCGTTTAAATTGCCTCCTACATTGATATTCTGCTGCTTCATCCAGTAATTGCAGTTGTTTTTCAAATTATGTTTTCCAATTATTATACCCCACGCAAATTTTTTGCGTAGGGTATAATGTTTTTGACCCGTCCGTCAGTCCTGTTTCTTGTCATCGCAACCTCTCTCAAACCACACCACAGAATTTCATGAAACCTTTTCAGATAATAAGGGCATACTATGTAGATGTGCATATCGACAGGAATTTACGAATCAATTTTTTTCCCAGGAGTTACGCCCCTTTGAACTTATTTGCCCAATATACTACTGCAACCTTTTGTCATCGCAACTCCTCTGAAACCACACCACAGAATTTCATGAAACTTTGTAGATAATAAGGACATACTATGTAGATGTGCATATCGACAGTAAATTACGCTTCAATTTTTTTTCTAGGAGTTACGCTCCTTTGAACTTATTTGCTTCAATGTACTTCTGCAACAGTTTGTCATCGCAACTCCTCTGAAACCGAACAACAGAATTTCATGAAACTTTGTAGATAATAAGGACATACTATGTAGATGTGCATATTGACAGGAAATTATGATTCAATTTTTTTTTCTTACACTTATTTTATTTCTCCAATGACAATGTGGGGATGTGGGGTATGTGAGCACGCTCACTAAGGTTCTTTAAATTTTGGAGGATGCATGATAAAACTCAGGTCTTTTTCTCATTGTATTTTCTGTGTGAGGTCATGATGAAATAATGACACATTAAACACATTTGTACAATTCTATAATACTGACATCATTAATGATCATTATTCCAGTCAGAACCATTTGATGGTTGGAATATTGTTTTGGTAGCTGTCTTGTCTGCAGCAGTCTTCTCCATCCAGGCAGTCCAGATTCAAAGCACATGATTAAAGGTATTATTACACCCTCCCTATGATAGTAAGGGGGAATATTGTATCGGGTTTACATGTCCAATGGAAACATATTTTTGTAATAAATTGTTTCTATTGGAATGTTGCTACAAATAAATAATGTTTACAGACGGTTCCCTTTTGGATACATTGGGGATCTCAACTTTCCTCAGTTTTCAACATTTAAGTAAAAATCAAGGCAAATCCTTGATTTAAAGACTTTGATCTCGGAGTCTTTGATGTATCAATATAGTGTAATACGTAGGTCATATTAAGATACCTTTAATGGTAGGCTGTCAAACCCTTCCAGATGCATCATTTCACTAAGTTAAATATTTATAGATCACTAAGTATCTGAGAACTTAACTCTGAGAAAAGCCATTGGGTTAAATGCTATAAAATTGAGAATGGAAATGGGCCAAAGAGCAGATAACAGCCGAAGGCCACCAATTGGTCTTCAATGGAGCGAGAAAATCCCGCACCCAGAGGTGGTCCTCAGCTGGCCCCTAAATAAAAATGTGTTCTAGTTAAGTGAAAATGGACGTCATACTAAACTCCAAAACATATAAATGAACTAAAATATATATAAAAATATATAGTAAAAATCATAATAAATGGTCGGCAAGGAGATATGTTTTGCTTGTAGGTAATTTTGATTGTAAAATGTTGAAATTAAAATAGAATACTTTCACATGTAAAATATGCAAACTATTCAAAGTCAATGTCAATGAACCATGAATGAAGGTAAGATATGCCAATGCTAATACAACTGCATAACAAATATCATTGACTTATCATTAGTAGTTCCCCATATACTAACATGAAAACAAAGCAAAGCTTTCAAAGTCAATAATAGATCCTGACTGGTAGGGCCAAATAACCTCCATGGAAATATGATGTGCCAATACTTATACAACTACATACCAAATAGTATAGATTTACCATTAGTGGTTCCCCTTAAACTGACCTTATCACAAACTTTAACAAATGGTTGCCGCCCCCAGAAACATCAAGTCTTAGTCTCGATTTTTTACTCTTGTCAAGGCCAGACAAATATTGAGAAAGAAATTGTCTTCATGAAACTTAACAATGTGTACATATCAATCAAAGAAACTTGATATTAGGCAAGATGTGCTTGTTGTCTCATTGGCAATCATGCCTCATCTTAGTTTTTTTTATATTGGATAGATACACTATGCTTCATTATAACCAGTATAGCTCATCTGGCTAAATAATTAATACACTTGATATACATGTCTCAGCAAAGTCAACAATGTTTAGTAAAAGGCACTGATGACAATACAGACCATTAGACTGACTAAGTTACATGCATCTGCTGGCTGAGGTCGATAGTAATAGAATTGTCAGTTTCTTTAGGAAAAACTACTGTTTTGTTCATTGATACTGAGGTATCCAAACAGTCACATGCTTGACTAGGAACAGAAATGTTTTATTTATATATTGTACAATATTGTATTGGAAAGGATCATAAAAAAGAATAAAGAAAATGCTTTATTTATAAAAAGATAACAGAAAATAAAGGAAGTTCTATCACAGATAGATTGTAATAAAATGTCTATCACAGATAGGTTACAATAAATATATATCGCAGACAGACTAACAATGTATCACAGATATTTGCACAGTTACTTCTCAATATTTCAAGGAATAAAGAGGAAAGAATGAAATAATTCATGAAAGGCAAACTAGATCAATATCAAACATTTATTATTATAAGATTCAAAATTAGAGTTCACTGGCCATAATTATTTGTTATCTTGTAATAAGTTGTTATTGCCTTTCTTTTTTACTCCGCAACAACTAATAATTGGGTAATTTACAAGAGAAAAGTATCATAAGTGAAAAGATATTGAATGAAAGGCCACTGTTTCAGTTAGATCCTTGTAAATAAACAATAAAAGTAGATATTGCAAATTATGTATTAACAAGGTTAGAGACATGTGTGAAAGTGTATTGAGAAGTAGTTTTGTGCATTGTCAAGTATATAATATATAAATCTCTAAAAAAAATAAAAAAATGAGCTCAAAAATATAAAACATTTTATATATCAATTTAATGGATATGTGAATGTGTTATAAAGATAAGAAAATATTCTTGCTGTAGTAAAACTTGCTAAATAAATGAATTTCTTCACTGGATTAAGTTTCATACAATTGACTGAAAACATCTAGTGCTAATACTGGTGTCAGAACAGTTGTAATTCATAGTACAAAAGTGTAGCCAGAAAATAAATCTTATTAGAAAAATTTACTAGAACATGTGTTTTAAATTATTTTTTCAAATGATTGTACATGTATTTAAATCTACAGCACTTTTAAAGGAGTTACATAAATATTCTAAGTCTATTGAAGTTTCATTTTTCCATTTCTTTTTCTATCTGTATCTCTAATATTTGGTTGGGTATGAGCCGTCTTTGATTGATGTTGCTACTGGAGCATTGGTAATACTCATGAAGGTACGCTCTCTGAATAGAATATCATCAATATCACTATTTCCAAAGTACTTAGTACCATATTCTTCTGTATCTGAAAGACAATGAAATCAGAAGTGAAACAAAAGTCAACTGTATCAAGTAAAGAACAATCTGTTACCTTCATCATTGGAATTGTAAAATAATATATTTCTCCTTGATCCTAATTTATAGATAAATAACATTTTCTTGCAAATAGAATTACAACCAAAGATGAGTTTAAAACATTAATTTTTTAAATGATTAACATATTTTGTGTAAGTATAAATTATCAAATTAAAAAAATATTTTTTCAATTAACAATGCTGTGGATTCATTACAATTCATTGGATATCAATTTTCAAGGATTTGGTTTGTATAGGTTAACAACAAACTTAAATGTTCCATGAGGTACAAATTCTCTATAGGCTTGTATGCAGTCTTTGGCAAAACCTCCAAATCAAATATCAACGAAATCATAATTCTTCCTCAATCAACGAGAATTGGTATCCAGGTAAATAAAGGAATCCACAGTGGGGTTGCCTTTATCTTATTGTATTATAAGTTAAAAAAAATAAAGTAAGACTATTTGAACTAATCTTTCTAATCGCACACTACCAGTTTCTGTTCTAGCTATATAAACTGATGTACACAGAAATTTGTATGAACGGGAAGATATTACTTTTGAAGTAATCATTCACAGCATCAAATACACTTTCAACACAAATCATTGTTTTAATAAAACACTGCCAACACCTTGTCTAGTGAATCTTTAAATCTACTATTGTACAAGATACATACCATGTGTTTTAGTTTTAGGAACGACCTTGAATTTCCATAGTAACAGTACGACAACAACAATGAGAACACAAACAGAACAGACCACTGCTGCAGCTATAATGGCTATGTTACTTGAATCATCAGTTGGCTGGAAAAAGAATATAATATAAATAACTTTGTAAACCTGCAACACCATATATAATTCCAGCAAGGTTAAATAATATGAATATCTAAGAAACAGTGAAATATCATATAATTCCTGCAATTTTGTTGTTCATCAGATGAAATTCTGAATATGAATAAAATGAAATGTGGGGTGATAACACCAGGTTTATGCATAATAACCTGACTATGGATTTTTCTATTGAAGGAACTATAATAGGCTTCCAAATTATGGCAAAGGTATCATCATCTGAAAGCTATTTTGTTCCTGATCTGCTATAACTTCTGTTAAAACTGATAAGTATATACCGGGTAAGCTAATTTGAAAAGTACTTCATGGTAGATAGTAAATTACTTTGCCGTTGGCTACAATTTCTGACCAGATGATATAATAATAATAATATAAAAAGGCGGTGTTAAACCTGTATACATTAGACTTAAATTTGATTGGATGTTATCCTGGAGGTTAGGAATCTAAATATGATGTATACAGGTTTAAGTCTGCCTATTTATATTGTTTGTAGATGTCAATCCTAATTACAATGCTTAAGCAAACATTTATACAAACAAAGCAACCGAAGCTGTCCAAAGTCTTACTATACAAGCATTAGGAAATTTGCTCTAACAAGTATAT